AAAAAGCAGAGGTATACAGACATAAATGTACAAAAGAAAACAAGTTATCTTTTATCGCATGCAAGATGAAATGACGATTTCTACCATTCCTTTCGACTTGCAATTAGATTTCGCACTTTGTACTCTTCCTACCCGGTTTCGGTTTCCCCTGTCTTTTCATCCTATCGTTCTTTGTGCAACGTTATAGGGAGTAAAGTTTCACAGGCTTGGAAAACTCTCGCTCGCGTACCGTCGGTGTCGTCGTGTATTATAAAACGAATAATTCGTTACCCCGTTTGTAATACAAGAGAATTTCCATCTACTCGGCAGTTACCTAAAAGCATTCCCACCCCTTCCCCGTCTCTGTACCTTCTTCCCGCGAGACTATAAGAATGTAGGAGCGTGTTTTCTCTATACACAACTGGTCCAAGAGTAACTCTCTTCGATTGCGTTTACCGACGGAAACCCTTTATCTCGCCTCTAGGAAAACGAATTTCAGCATATCAGCTGACTGCCGCGTTGAGCCAACGGATCGATCGTTAGTATGCAGACAAGCTTGCAATAAAAAAGACTCTAAGAGATTTCAAGCAAAGTCTCAATTCCTACTCACTTTCTAATTTCTACTCACTGACGTATTTTTCTACAATCTTATCAGAATAAAAATATAAAATATATACAATAAAAAATATTTTTGGTACTTTTAAACGTTGTTATGCATGATACCATGACGTAATATATGTTATAAGATTCATTTGGCTCGTAAAAAATTATTCATATAGGAAACTGTCATTCATTTGGACTTTTCCTGGATTGTTACGTTTTTCATTAAACAAGACGTACTTACAAAGTTATAGATTTCAACCAATACAAAGAAGCTTTTAATGTACAGAACCTCTGACTATATTTAGAAAATGTATACTTTTATAATAATGAAAAACTGAAATTGCGATTATTTTAATATACTGTGACTCGTTTTATTTTAATTAAAAAATAATAGTAATAAATTTTTTTGCCTTGTAGACTTAACGTCTATTACAAGGAAATTGTCATGGCACACATCGTATCTTAACAAAACTATTATATTTACATGCCAAAGAAAATGTAGGCACTAGCTACTCTTATTTAAATAACTCTTTTCTATCTACCCTTAACCGTTAATCTTTTAAATACAAATTTATTTAATACCTAGTAAATGGTGACGATCAGAATTTGAAAATCGGACTTTTCGAAATATGAATTATCAATAAAAATCTCTTCGCGGATCGAATAAATAGCGTTTTGTACTTCTTTCTTGAAATAGAACGTCCAACTTTAAAATTCCAACGAAAAATGGCTAACCAAAATTTATCACGAGTTCGCTCAGAATTGAAAAAATTTTCTTGCGAAAGAATTTCCAGTTCAAATACGGGGAACGGTTTCCCGATAAAAAGATTCAACGAGCTGAACGGAATGTTGGAATCACCTTCCAGCTGGTAATACCGATAACGGCGATGTAAATGGATCAAGCTACTATCCGGTAATTGTCCTAACCCAGCGAACATTAATGGGTCCGATAATTATCCGACCGATCGAAGAATGATTCTTTTCATTCGTTGGGGTGGGAGGGGTGGTTCAGTAGCCGTGTCGCGTTGCGCCGCTGGAACAACCGTAATTCGATTACGCCACAGAACGAGAAACTTCTTTTGCCTCGGACCTGGGCCGGGGACTTAACAGACTCGGCGAGGTCAACCTTTAGAAACTTTCTAATTGGGTGCTTTTAAGCGACCTGTCCCCGGACGACGCACACATTACCATTTCAAGCTCGCTAGCGGGCTAGCCGTAAGTCATATGCAAATATCGGAAGGCGCTTTCGCTACCGGGAATTCATTAAAACAGAACTGTTAGAAAATAGAATCTCGCCGGCGCGGCACGGTGCAAGATTTTCGAAGCTCCGTATATAAAGCTACTAATAGTTAACTAGACGGAACAAGATTATGGCAACGCTGGCACAGTACAATTCGCCATACTTTCAATTAAAACCTTCCTTGTTTACTGTAAAAAAAGCTGAGTCCACTTTTCCTTTCGACTGTTAATTCCAGAATCACTTCCTTTTTATTAACCAAATGGCAATTTGAATATCTCGGAAAGTTTCGCACGGCGAGGATATTGGACACCGGTGTCGCAACTTCGAGTATAATTATTGTTACTTCTGAATTTGAAGATTCGCTCGACGCAACTAACGTTAACCGTTAAATATTCATAAAGACAGTTACTCCTGATGGCTGTAGTTTGCGCGATACTCAATCGCATTTTAAACAGTCCAAAATTTCTCAGAGACCGCTTGAGTTCAGTGGGATCGTTATTACGGCGAAATTAAATTATACTCCGTACTCTGATTGAGAAATAAGTCAAGTCACTTGCGTTTACTCTATGTAGCATGAGAAACGTTATACCGCTTCTATGATTTCGGTGAACTCTATGTATATTTACGAATTCGGTTACGAATTACAGTTCTCTCAATGTAATTTTTCGAATAATTAATATAATATTGATTCTTATTACAATTTATGATATTTTAGATTCACATATTTCAAAATCGTACGTTTATGAATTATAATCACGGATTGTAAACTTTTTCTCATTTTCCTCTGCTAAGTCTGCTATAGTATTTCCTCTAAACGCATATTTTTAGAATCCACAGCAAGTCATATTATAAACAAATATCAAATAAGAAGAACTTGTTTAATATATGTATATATAGTATTATTACTTGCAAATAATATTCTCAATCGCTTTATCTCCAAGGGGATATCGTGTTAAATAAACAACGTATTCATTTAATAAACAAATATATTTTGGTAAATAAATTAGATTACATCCCAAGAGGTTAAAATTACGTGATGTTTATTTTACGTGATGAGTAAATTAAATCACTTTGTCAATCTAGAGAAATTGACTTGTCACACACGTGGACGTTAAATGAGTCGGGAACCGTTTTGAGTGGCTGGATGTATTCATGACCGTAGGTCCAGCAGAACTGTTCAGTAACTTAAAATTCCTATTAATTTTTTGGCAGATTAAATGCAATCAAATTCGTAACGTAACTAAGTACATCATATCTGAATACAAGTTTAATAAATTTGTTTCACGTTAAAACAGTCTTTCACGAGCGAGATCCATTATCTGTTAAAATCGAAAGCTTAAAACCGTCCGGTTAAGTTGGGACCAATCGATATTGAACCTTCCCACGGAGCGAAAGGCGGACTTTGACCAACCGCGCGACGCGTAGCTAAATTCCGTCGCTTTGATCGTCAGGGTCGGAACGGTAAAGGGTCGATTTTCGTCTGGGCGTCAGGAAACGGTGGCAGGGATCACGACAACTGCAATTGCGACGGTTACACGAACAGCATTTGGACGTTGTCGATCAGCAGCGCGACGGAGAACGGCCAGGTGCCCTGGTACAGCGAGGCGTGTTCGTCCACGCTGGCCACCACCTACAGTTCCGGCTCGTCCGGCGAGAAACAAGTGGTAACGACCGATCTGCATCATCTCTGCACGAGCAGTCACACGGGCACGTCGGCGTCGGCACCGTTGGCCGCTGGTATCTGCGCCCTCGCGCTCGAGGCGAACAAAGAACTCACCTGGCGGGACATGCAGCACATCGTCGTGAGAACCGCGAAACCGGCTAATCTCAAAGCGATGGACTGGGTCACTAACGGTGTAGGCAGAAACGGTCAGTATAAAAGCAGAACAATGATTTATTTTATTTGTAAACTAATTTATTTCGTGGTACTGCTTTCCCTTTCGGGGCTTCAAGGGAGGACTTACGTATCTTTACAAAGAAAATAATTCTGGAACTCAACAGATAAGTTAAAATTACGTGATGTTTATTTTACGTGATGAGTAAATTAAATCACTTTGTCAATCTAGAGAAATTGACTTGTCACACACGTGGACGTTAAATGAGTCGGGAACCGTTTTGAGTGGCTGGATGTATTCATGACCGTAGGTCCAGCAGAACTGTTCAGTAACTTAAAATTCCTATTAATTTTTTGGCAGATTAAATGCAATCAAATTCGTAACGTAACTAAGTACATCATATCTGAATACAAGTTTAATAAATTTGTTTCACGTTAAAACAGTCTTTCACGAGCGAGATCCATTATCTGTTAAAATCGAAAGCTTAAAACCGTCCGGTTAAGTTGGGACCAATCGATATTGAACCTTCCCACGGAGCGAAAGGCGGACTTTGACCAACCGCGCGACGCGTAGCTAAATTCCGTCGCTTTGATCGTCAGGGTCGGAACGGTAAAGGGTCGATTTTCGTCTGGGCGTCAGGAAACGGTGGCAGGGATCACGACAACTGCAATTGCGACGGTTACACGAACAGCATTTGGACGTTGTCGATCAGCAGCGCGACGGAGAACGGCCAGGTGCCCTGGTACAGCGAGGCGTGTTCGTCCACGCTGGCCACCACCTACAGTTCCGGCTCGTCCGGCGAGAAACAAGTGGTAACGACCGATCTGCATCATCTCTGCACGAGCAGTCACACGGGCACGTCGGCGTCGGCACCGTTGGCCGCTGGTATCTGCGCCCTCGCGCTCGAGGCGAACAAAGAACTCACCTGGCGGGACATGCAGCACATCGTCGTGAGAACCGCGAAACCGGCTAATCTCAAAGCGATGGACTGGGTCACTAACGGTGTAGGCAGAAACGGTCAGTATAAAAGCAGAACAATGATTTATTTTATTTGTAAACTAATTTATTTCGTGGTACTGCTTTCCCTTTCGGGGCTTCAAGGGAGGACTTACGTATCTTTACAAAGAAAATAATTCTGGAACTCAACAGATAACAAACATCAATATATACATCATTTTCTAGGGATCTCTTACGATTGTATGAGTCCTTAAATAAAAGCATTCAAATTTTAACTGTTATTAGATAAATACTGTGGAAAGTTTTAGAAATTTTGCAAACCTACTAAAAAAGTTATAACACCTTGAAGTGTTATCTTGAATCACTAAATTTTGATCTCATTTATATAAAAATGTTTTAAAATTGAAATAATACCAACTTCGAGGATATTAATAATATTGTATCTTAAATAATATGATATTATTAAATAATATGATATTATTTAAGATAGATAATAAAAAGTTAGAATTATAGGACTTACAGACAGTTGCAAATCAGGTACAATTCTATCAATAAGTGCCATATATTAGAATATCAAAACTTACACATTAAAACTTGCCTGCTACTTGAGAAGGCACATCGAACGACGTTATAAACCTTATTTTTCCTCAATTTCCAAATTTGTCGCTTTAAATATTGGACGTAACTTTTTACGACGTTTCCTAAACTTTCCCGAGATATCTTACGGTTAACAAAAATAAAAGCTAAAAACAGAAACATAAGAACAATCATAACTACTATACTAACTCTATGAACGAACCACTTAGTATAATTGCCCGTCACCGTCCTATTCTACTACTATTAAAACAAACGATTCTTGTTTACTATTAAAACAAAACGACTCATTCCCATTCTTCTCGTTCTCGTTTATTCTATTTCATACAAAACGAAGGCTTAAAGACTGTAATGCCAATCCGCAACGCTGACTTTTGCCAATTCCTACCTAATCATTGATTTATTTCTAACATGATTAAATTACTTACTGGATAAAAAAGACATTTTAAGTAACATTTTTATTTCTTATTTTGTATTTATGTGAATTTATTTTTCTCCAGTGAGTCATAGTTTCGGCTATGGATTGATGGATGCTGCAGCCATGGTACGTTTGGCCAGGAGGTGGCGGACAGTACCGGAACAACATAAATGCGAGGTTTCTGCACCGCACAACGGCAGGTGAGTCAACGGATTTATAAAATAAGACTAATAAACACCAGAGCACCCAAATAGGAGACTTTCTTCCATCGGAATGTAAGAGAGAAAAACAGAAAGTTGCCTAAAGCATGTTTCCTCTATCATTTGCGGACTCAGCAAAAATACATTGGACGCTTGATCTATTCTTTTATGTAAATGATAAAAATCTATCAAATAATTTAACACTACCAGATAAAATTATTATTTCAAGGTGTTTCTATTAAAATTCTGAAGTTAAATGAATGTGCATACTAAGAATTTCCAAAATCTTAGTTTAACGTTCATTATACATTACATATTTCCTAAAAGTTTATCGCTTCAAATATTGGACATAGCTTTTTATCACATTTCTTAAACTTTTAGCAAAGTCCTTACGGCTCATAAAATCTTAAGAATCAGTATTTTAGCGAAACGTAGTACTATTGTAAAAGCGATATGCAATAGCGATCTATCACTATTTCCGCCACGTACGGTTCGGTTTGCGACGCTCTGATGACGATACACTGATCCTAGGAAATAGCTTTCAGGAGCTCGACACGGTTGATTTAACACGTACGATTCGGCAATCGTTTGCAACGCAAAACGACGAGATTTCGTCGGTAAGAAAAACATAGCAAAGTAATTTTCATAACGACATCGGATAAAATTCGTAGGAACGAGGAAGCGTCGATAAAAATATGAAATTGATGAATTTTCTTTTACCGTTTAATGCGAGTGACCTATATTTGACGGCGCGCGTGTGAATCTATGTTACAGGGCAATACCACCGAAGAGTCAGTTAACTCTGGAATTGCACGTCAAGGAGTGTAGCGGCGTTAATTTCCTCGAGCACGTACAGGTAAGTACTATGTCATTCGCGTTAAACGCCGCGCTAATTAATAGTTTTTCCCGAGAGAAAAGCGTTTCCGTTGCATTCACAGAAAAATTACTCCAAAGTGTGGGAACTTATAAGAAATCAATTCCGAAGAGAAATTTTATTTTGCAATTTTTAATTTAATTCCACGTTGCGTTAATTTAAGCTCAACGTACAAGAAGCTAATTAAAAAATTATTTGAGCATCGTAATTAACGTACGACAGTCTTCTTTTATTTCTACAAACTTTCGCGTGATTGCGTTTGCGACAGGCTAAAGTTACGCTGATGGCTTCGAGGAGAGGTGACCTTCAGATCCAACTTACATCACCTCAGGGTACGAGGAGCGTCCTTCTCGCGAAAAGGCCGCACGACGTTTCGAAGGCTGGTTTCAATCAATGGCCATTTATGTCTGTTCACACTTGGGGCGAAAGGCCGCACGGGACGTGGAAACTTGAAATCCACAATGAGGGTCGATACCAAGGTAAGTCCATTGTGCATTCTTTTTTGTACTCTCCTCTCGTCGCGTACTTTTAATTCTACACACACCGAATATACAGAGTGGTTCACCAGATACTACTACCTCGAGTATCGTCGTTATCATTATTTGTAGCAAAGAATATTTATATATTATTAAGAATGGTTACATATGTTTATATGTAGCAAAGAAAGTTGAATAGTTTCAAGAGAGGCACATTCTGGTGTTGTGAGCTGTTTTGTAGGTGGACGCTTAGAAGAGATATAAAGGTCATCAACATCTTTTTAATTGGGATTGTATACTTATTCGTGCTCTAGTCGATGAAGCTTTACATTCTCTACAAAAAAGTGTTACCCATTAATATCGAGCAACCATTAGCTAAGAAGATATTTAAATTTTCAAAGGGTTAAATCCAATGACTTTATTGTGAGTCGAATGGTTTTTAAATTCGCTAAGCTCACTCTGATCGGCAATTGACAAGATTCATTGAGTTACTTTCAATGGATCGAAGCCCCAGTGCTTTACTCTCAGCGAGATACGTAATAGCTTTAGTTCACTGAGAAAAGCAAATGACCTTGTACAAGTATTAAGACTGCACTTCGGGTCGCTTTTATAGATCCATTAAAGTTGATAGCTGCGTAAACTTCGTTACAGAAAATTTGTCCCCGAACGACGACGCGGCACGGCTCCTCGTATCCGCGAATGCTTAACAGCATCTTTTGTCGTATTAGTCGCGTCTATCTATCATCCTTAGTCATTAACCTGATTATTATTATTATCCTTAACGAGATGTGAATATTAAATATATCGAACGCACTTGTCAATTCATTACTTCATAAAAGTGAGAATAAATGATAACGAGTCACTATTGTTCAAGTTGTATAAATTCTTAAAATCTATCCGGAGGTGAAACTCCTTAGGGCAGGGGTGACAAACTGACCTTTCGCGAGCCACTTACGGCTCTTGCTTCTACTCTCGTCTTGGCTTCTTCTCTTATGTCTGTTTACTTGATGATAGGCTGAGGCACCTTACGTAATCGTTTTTCGACTATTAGATCTCCATTAGCGACGTAAGTGCGTAAGAGAGCACAGTAGATTTAAGAGAACAGTGGCTTAAGGATGTATTGGCTATACAGTCAATCCCAAAAGTTTATGTACCTTAGAAAAACGCATTTTCTATAATTAAAACGAAATCAGACGTCAGAAGAAAGAGTTCTATTTTTAAGAGGAGATTTGAATTCTCTTAAAAAGCACTAATTTTGAGAAAGGGTTTTAAAAGAATAAAAAGAAGTATCACACTATAAGACCTAAAACTTTTCATCGATATGCGCCAAACTTTGCATATGTATACTTCAAGACAGTGTTTCCCAATGGGGCTCCTCAAATCGCCCCCCTGTGGGGCGTGGGCTCTACAGGAGGACAAATTCACACAAAGATGGACCTGTCCAAAAACTTTTCATTACTTTTCTTTTTTATTTGTAACATAATGAGAGTTTCCTTCAAAGCTTTTTGGGGGTTGGGGGCCGAAACTTTTACCTCTTAGAGCCCTTATTGGTCTTAAACCGCCGCTGTTTATGGGTAGCCCGATTGTATAGAATATTCCCATACATTCGACTCGAATTTGATATTTAGGATCTAATTCCATGTTTTGCTCTGAATATGTACATGAGGTTCGTTATTATTAAGTCTAGGGAACCGGTAGACGTAGAACAAAGTCACTCCTGCCTTAAGAAACAAACCCACCATCGGGATCTTTGGGGCTCCCTTTGGGAATTCGCGGCCCACAGCTAGCCCGCGCTCCAACACCTACCGGTACTAGACCAAGTACTATCTTATCGTCTCATCTCGGAAGACATAAAGGGAATTCTCGTAAACCGTGCACATGGGACCGCGTAAGCCGTCGCATTACCCCTCTGAGGGCATAATTCGATATTCGAGGCTTGTTACCTGGGCGATGCGCACGACGGTATTCAACGCGGGTGTCCCAGCGATGATGCGCCAGGGGAGGAAGTTGACCTTGCGTCTTGCGGAACCGTCAGTACCGCTTCGCGTTCGAGATCCCGTTAAAGCCGATGTGCGCGTTAAACTTCGAGTTACTGGAGGAGTCGGTGCGTGGCTGCGGCTTACGGCCCGATGCATCCACGCGCGAGATAATACGTTGCTCTATTATGTCGGCTAATACGCAGGCTACATTCCAAGTACAGGTATTCAAACCATTACACGCCGTGTTTACGTTGATTCCTTGTATAATACATCGCTCCGAGGGACCCGGTTCGTCGCTGTCCGAACACACAATATTGTGCTTAACCCAGGCGCCGCAGCTGTTGGTCGCTAATCATTTTCCAAAGCCAGTCGATAAGCATCGCTTGGTAATGTGTATCCGTGGAATTTCTCTAACTCGCAAATATGAATTGTTTCATTCTTGTGTAGTAACAGAGAAATTACTTAATTAGGTTAGATTAAATAATTTTGTAAACAAAGTAATTGACAAATATTTTTAATGTAATGAATGTTTAATATTGATAATCACTGATACTATAACGAAACACTCTCCGATTTTTTGCTGCCACCCGCTCGACGAACCCGGGAACGTGTTCATCAGGTCGCGCGACGCTCCACGAATGGGCGTTGATATTTCACGGAACGTCGACGCTGCCCGATCGGACGGAATACGCGTTGTACAATCCAGCTGGGATCGGCATACCCCGAAGACCGTTCGTAAAACCGCGCGAGACTATATTTTCGAAAACGCAAAATTCCTTGACGAGCGTGAAGAGCAAGCAGACCCAGCATAAGACCGAGAAATCGGGCAGTCTGAGCCCCCCGTACGTGGTGAACGCGCAGATACAGTCGCAGAGGAAGGGCAAAGTACGCGGTCAGCACAAGAACGGAAAATCGGCCAATAAACCAACGCCAAAGCCGACCGTGCAAACGTTACGGGGTTTAAACGCTGCCCGAGGGCCAAACGTAGCCGGCGAAGTTCGCCTGGTCACGTCCAGGCCTCGAGGAAGAAGCACGCCGAGTCCCATCGTCACTACTACCGTCACTACCACCGTTGTTCATACAAGTCCCGCCCCAACGACAATTCCGACCACAAGACCGAGCAGCAGGCAAAGGATCATCGACGTAGTGACCACCTCGTCGCTTCAGAGGGGTTTAATCCTGCTGGAACCGCCGCCGAAAACTGTTATCAACCAAGTGCCGGCGATCTTCCAGCAGTATCCGAAAATTCAACAGCTCTATCCTCTCTATCCCGTGTACGCTGGTGTTAGAGGTGCTGGACAGCACGCGACCAGGGCTAAGGGCCTTGACTTGCTCCAGGATGAACAGTTCGATTCGAAAAACTGGGACAAGGGTATTCTTCGTTTTAGCTCACGTCGGTCCTTCCTTCGTTGCACTCATAATCGATCCGTGGATGATTTTACTAACGTAATTAACCGTAAACTCATTGAAGTAGTTTAGAACTATTAAAATGTACATCCACGGATACGAGTTTATTTTATTGCATCCGGCCAACGTAGTAAAATGTGTACGATAGAAGTGCATCCATGTTTATAGTATAGTATGCGATTTTTATCCAATTTTAGTTTTTCCATGGCCTTATAGGTATTTTCATTGCACTTCTCATTGTCGTTGTCGTTGTTATCAAGGTTGTATGAGCCATAAGTTTAAGGAATGTCATTAAATTAAAAGCTATGTCCAATATTTGAAGCTATGAACTTTTAGGAAAAATGATATTTACATAAAAGTAAGGTTGGGTTAGGTTAAGTTTTATAGCATTGTTCGACGTGTCCTTGTGAAGTCATAGACAAGTTTTAACGTATAATTTCTAATATTCTAATATATCATTTTGACACTTTATCATAGGATTCAACTTGTCTACATTTTCTAAAGTCTTATAATTCTTACTTTTGCTTATTTTTTACTATCTTAAATAATATCATCAAAGTTGACATTATTTCAACTTTAAAATATTCTTAAAACGTAAATTTAAGGGTTCATACAATCTTAAGCTTTTTTATTCGAATTGTCTTTGCAAAACAACATTTCTGCATATTCTCATTAATCTTCCTTGCTTATTGAGAAATAGAAGATAATCTCAAAGTCCCAATTGATTAAAAGCAATCATAATTGTTAACAAATAATTTGCCTTCATTAACACTACACATTTGTTTTCGTAATATTTGTGTAAAAATTGTTACCACCTTATTTTCGTCTGTTTTCATCGACATAGCTTTCTTCTATCATATTAGGAGTCCTAGCTTTTAAAGTGCAGCCACGAAGTTGTTAAAAGTAGACGCAAGCAAGCTGTACATTCGGCGTTTAATCAAAACTTGCAGTGACTTCGCTCCTACGCTTTTCCCCTGCATGAGATTCGCTTGTATGCACGAAAATATGTGTTCCGTAGACATGCTTTTAAACAGCACATAGTTCAGAAAAATTTAATTGTTATCTACAGCAAAATGCTGAAAATATTTTCAGCTTATTACAATAGGTGGTTATTTAAGAAAATTAATTTGAATCTCATTGTGCCATTTGATCGCAACAAATAAATAATTATATTTCCTATTTTTTATATTTTTTATCCTTTGTTTTTATGTATTCGAATCGTGAGACGGCATTTTGTTCAAACATCTGCGATTTTTTCCGTGCTTTGAAAAATCTTAACACGCGCAGCTTTTACATCCTGAATCCGTGTACCCGGAGAACGATGATCCGCGGATCATGTTGCTCTATTATAACAGCAATAACGGTGTTCGATTTCCCATTGACCACTAACATTTCCGCTTCACAAACGTTCTTTTTCCAGTTCTCCTGCAGTCCATAAAATATATTTAGGTGTCACGATGCTCGCATAATTCAGTACTCGCCCGTATAAACCTGAAGCTCTATTATTGCCAATAAATGTAAATTGTGATTACCTAAGATACACAAAATGTAGACAACGAATACATATATAAATCTTGTGTGAATTCATAAAAAAATACCGCATTTGACGTCATAATTTATATAATCATAAATCATGATCATAATCGCAATTTAAATACAATCGCACACAATTGATTAGTTTATGTATATTGATTGAAATTAATAATCATCAAGCAGGTTATTAATATATTTCGTTACATCAATATTTCATTTCTTTGGAATAGAACAACCCATTTCTTGTCTCCAATCGTTCACACGGTATAAGAATGAAATTCTCCAAACCACGTCCCTGACGCCTTATCAATTTCCTGTCGAGCAATGATATTGACACCACTGTTCGCTTCCTTCGTTTCTACCTATCAATGTAAGACCACGTTCCTCGAACTACTCGTATAGAACTCGATGAAACATGTGCGCGAACGAACGTAGACACCGCACGGACCCACAGGATAATGCAAAGTGCACTCGGCTCGTGCAAAGTAGATCTAACCCATCTGTCGGTGTTAACATTGAGAAGACAAAGGAGGGCAGGCATCGCGTTTCAAATCACGGGTTTATTTAAAATTCTCCAGGCTCATTGCAAATGTGGGATATACAAATGATTGATAACAGCGTGTGCAGCTATTACAACATGAAAATCAGTACGTGTCTCGAAGAAGGAGTTTAAAGAAACAAGGAATCTTTCCAGTTTTAAATTATCCACCCATCTCATTTCGTTATTAATATCCTGTCGTTTCGACTGAAAAGGCGGCCGTAAGATTGTAATCGGGGGTTGCAAATTGTGCTAAATTATTTCCGACAATTTATCGTTCTTGTGAATGGGATTTCATCGGGATAGACGAATGGGACGCAGATAAATCGCGCTTCGAAGATAAATAATTCTGATCCCGACCTCTCTGACGATTCTTCCATTATTTTATATTATTTTACTACAAATAATTGATTTAGTAATCAATTCTTGGTACCACTTTTAATTCACAAAAATCTTATGAAGATAGTTTTTTTAAAATATCTCTATATGTGTATGTAAATATTTTGTGTGAAAATAGTACGTACGTATATCTCTTATAACTCTTTACTGTAAGCACAAAGCTTGTTATTTTCTTGTCAACTGTGCAAGAATATTAAGTTAAGTCTATATGTAGGCACATAGATTTTTATTCAAGCACGAATTTCGTTACGTTACCACACTTGTTATTAATTTTATGTACAGCGTAAGCCGTAGTGTTGAAGTATGTTGGAAATATTTTGTAATAATCATCTGCATCATTATCTGTGCGAATATTTTAATTTAAAATGAATAATGAAATTTTTTATTTGATGCTTGTGAAATTTGTTCGTATCTGAAATTGAAATTTGGATTTTCAGCATGCTCCAGTGTGTTTCATAATTGATTACTTCTAAATACCCTACCAGTACATTTGAACATGTTACGTGTTTTTATGTTTAATAGAAAGCTGAGTACAAAATTCTTTTGGTGCTTTCAACATGATTGAATGTTTTTACATCAAACATTTACTTTGTTTCCTATTATTTAATCCCTTTCATGAGAAAAGAGAATCGCAAATGAAACAGAGTTTATAGCCGCAGAATAATTTTCTAAATGAATCTTTTCGAACACATTATCTCGCTGTTTAAACTGTTAAAATGCAATGGGTAAAAGGTCAGTTTCATAAACGCGATTCTCTTTAGCCAAAACGCGCAATTTGAAACGTCGAAATGATGTTCCAGACGCTTTGAGGGAGTTCAAGCTGGTGTTCTACGGTACGGAAACGTCGCTTGAGTTCGACGACGACCTGGACCAGGACAAATTAGTGCCACCTATCAATCATCAGGACGTTGACCAGGACAACACAGCGATCGGCGTAAGGCACAACATCGTGGACACGGAGGGCGACCCGTGGACAGGTAGCCAACAGGTAGAACGCGTCTCCCACCCGGAGGTGCAGAAGCCGACGACCGAGAACCAGACCAGCAGCGGTTGCAGCAGCGTGGATCCCGGGAACGGCAGGTGCCTAGGTGGGTGCCTCATTCTACTCCTTCTAGCCTACCTGCTAAACTGCTGGGAGAACCAGTCGGCCAGGTGGCGGAGACCGGCGAGTGTTCAGGACGAAAGTGAACGGCCAGAGGTGAACACCTTCGGTTCAGCTTCCTCGAGCGCGTCGTCGTCGTCGAGGTTAATCGTGTTCGAGACGGACGCGACGATCCCAGGCTCTTCGGTGGCTACCGGGTGTTCATGATAATTATCCCGTGAACAATCGACACCTGCCTAGACACACGATTTTAAAAATCGTAGAAAAGAAAAACGGTGTCGGGAGTTTATTGCTTGAACATTGCTGTGTTGTGATTTCCTAATCGCGGCGGAGGATCAGAGTCGACTGTCCTGTCCACTTGCTTTCTCCTTAGACGCTTTTCCGCCCGTCCGGAGAAAGGACTCTCCTCGAGGATGTGCTGAACATCGAGCTTAAAATGTCCTAAGGGTTTCACCGGCCCGATCGCTCACTAAAAGTGTGCACGTGTCGACGGTTTGCCGCGAACCAGCGCCTGTCGGTTCGATTTCCATGTTCGCATACCAGGAACAAATCGCTGCTTGTTCGAAGGCGAACCGTTCAAGCGACGTGCACACGTAAACGTCGTTCTAGGGTTAGGATTAGTTCAATTAAGTGTCGTCTACGAGAGACTTCTGTGACTGGTATGCGTGTAGAAAGGATCATCTGGACTTTCGAGAGAGGATCATTGAAAACTTCGCTCGTAACAGATTATGGAACTGGGATTGACTTAGTGGGTAAAACGATCACGGAGAAAATCGATTTCATAATATGATTCGAGGTCATGGAACGTCTGCGTGTTTATACTTTTAAACGTGTTCTTTCTCGGATTTTTCATAGATGAATTATTCAAAACGGGTGCTCGAATCCTGAGAACGACAGCTACGAAGGATACACTTCCGACAATAATTTTCATTCAATTGCATAATCAGGAGGCGAGTACTTCCGGTTAGAAGTATCTCTCCACTGTTCAATTTTCGATTGCTGAAAGACTTAACGTGTTTTGCTTTTTAAAATACCTCGGTTTTATTTATAATGCTAGCAGTACATTCTCGCCGAGGCAAGTTTTTTCAATTTGAAGTTCGTTTTTAATTATGTTGATGAGGAAGGATTAAAAAATGTTAATAAATCCACGTCTCATTTTTTCAGTGCTCAACCTGACACTGATGTGGTTGGATTTTGACGTTTCAAATCAAAATAATTTTAACCTACGTAATAAGAACTAATTATTTTACAATCGAATGTGAATAAAAGTTGGAAATATTAACAGCATATAAATAAATAAAATAATAACGCCCTTCATATATTTCTGTTTTTACTTGTTAATTTCTTATTTATTGTAATTATCTTTATAACTGGATAATGATCTAATTTACGTGTTTCATCATTTATTTCTCTTTGTTTCGTTATCCAATTAGCTTTTAGCTTACACTCCCTTGGAAAAAGCAGATTTCCACTTCTTTCTTTCTTTGAAAATATTATTTATTTGAATGCATATTTCCTTATGCTTCGTTTTAAAAATGTAATTAAAATATAAAACAGTATTAATGTAGGATTGAGTTGTTCAACTGATCTTACAGAAAATCTGTTGGTTTTTAATCCAACATATTAATCGAGCTTTAAAAAATTGAGACATAGATTTATTATTACTTTCCAGACTTATCCACATCAACGCAATAAAAAACGAGCCGAGAATCATTATTGTTCTAAGCTGTACTCGCATCGCTCGCCTCCCCTTGTCTTATTGAATTGTTTTTTTTATTAGGGGGCTCGCAAACTTGAGAACATCCATACCCAGTTACGAAAGTATAATAATTCCGCGATTCGAGACAAGCACCTAGCATTTGCCTCGGTAAAAATCCCGAAGAGACGTTCAGCGTGCACTGCTGGCATAACAATTGATGACAGAAAAAACCGAAATAGACGATTCCGTGAAAATAAAGTCAGATTTAAAAACAATTGATCTCGATTTTCTCCGTGAATAAGAGAGCAAAATTCTGATTTCATTTCGGTGAGAGTAACCACGTTCGATACGCCGTTCCGTGTTAGATAATTCGGTAACGTCCGACACATTTTTTACGAGAAGAGGAGCCAACCGCGAAACTGCCAGTACGAGGAAGTCGATTCCTCGCAAAATTTTTCGTGCGCCAAGCGAACCTAGAGAAAAATAACAAATTGCCTCGCGTAAACTCTGTCTATATAAACGGAGACGTCCGAGCCAAAAATGTCTCTGAAGGATTATTTTTTTTAATATTCAATTACAATAGTTGTATACATGAACATCGTATGATCAATCAAGCTGTTACTAGTAGAGATGTTATAAATAGGTGCATTTTCAAACACGTCGTGAATACCAGGATAGTAAAATGAGTTTACAAAGGTTGAAATTTTATATGCAGATTATACATTCAATATAATGAAGAATTGTGGTAATCAGTCACATGTACATAAGGACAGAGGTGATCAGTTAGGCCCCAAGTACCTGTGAAAAATAAAAAAAATTAAACTGGTTTGTAAAATATAAAAATATTTTTACAGGTAGCTTATATAATATAAAACTCTGTCAGTCAACTGTTTGATAGAACAGCGTTCATTAGTCAGTGAAAAAAGAACGAAGTACAATTGAGAGAGGATAGAATTGTTTTTATTTTAAGTTTCAATAATGTTCAAATTTAATTACAATTAATTATTAATATTGTTTTAACCTTATTAATGTTCGATAAATTTAATCATACATTTAATAATTGATAGATATAAAATTACTGAACCTCAGGTAATAGACCAAACTTCTATGTATGATACTGTAGAAAAAAACAGAGATTTAGTTTTATTTTTCATAAATAATTCAAGCCTGACTGACCACCCCGTCCTTACGTATATTTGACTGACTATACTATAATTACTGTGACCATCTGTTCTNGACATATACAATTTCACTTTTTCTAAATTCATTTTACTGCCCCGGTATTTGAAAGCGCAGCTATAACACCTGTCCAAATAACGGTTTGATTGACCATGCCATTTTAAAAAAGGATTTAAGAAATGCGAAATGTTTTATTTCCGAATACAGAATACCGGAGATAGCTCAATCTTTCCCAGACTGACTCTTTGTAAGTCCCAGACTCATTCAGGACTTCCCGGGGTTTTAGAGGGTAACCCTACAACGTCGTATTATCGGTCCTCCTCTAAACATTGTAGCCCGACGTTTAGGCATAAGGAATGCATCGGGGTCCTCTTGACGAAACGACTCTTGTAACTTTGTTTCACTTACACCGTGTTCATCTACACCACTACTATAACAAAATGTTAAAAATCTAGTCTTTGTCATTTCAGAGACCTTTTTGACTCCGAGTTCTCGGACTAATAGGCGTTGCCATCCTGATCGGTAACCCGTAAAGGTCTAGCCCCACTGACGACACGACAACGACATTTTGAGTTTTTTGAGGTGGTGGGGCGGCCGAGCCAGTACACGTAGCCAATACGGTACTGGCACGGCCGCCCCACCACCTCAAAAAACCCAAATTGTCGTTGTCGTGTCGTCAATGGGGCTAGACCTTAAACCGTATCGCGTTCAGTTTCCTAAACATCCGGCGTAATTGCCAAACGCTACTCGACTGCATTATAATCCGTTCATCGTAACCGATGAGATAATCTAGCTGTTTCGATTTCGAAACACGACTCATACACGATTAATATATTTGACTATTACAGTGTGAGTTAACAGCGAGTAAAAATTGAAGATTCGTTCGTTAGTCATCTATTAATTCGAAAGAAAATCGTGCTAGCTAGCAGTTCGTCAGATATTAACTAATACCTGCGGGTAAAATTCACCCATCCAACGTTTCAATTATTCTACTCTTGCTTGCGATTCTGTAACAGTCGTGCGGGTTTTACCCAATCGACTATAGTACACTAGTTTTATCAAACTTTTTTCATCTCTCCGGATTGTGTGTACTCACTTTTGACTTTCACTGTGGTTAGGAGTACCTATTAATCGGTTCGTGCGTTCAACGCTGAAACTCTTCCTGCATTGTACACAGGTCGAGCGAAATTCAACAATAATTAGAAAGAAAGGAACAAGTCTAATACCGAGGATTATTTCAAATGATTTCAACGTGTCTGCATAGTAACAATAGATGTGTTTTCACAGAGTATCGATTGACGAAACGACCGAACCTGTTCCAGACAGGCAAGCAGACAAACAAAACGAGAGTGTTCCCTTTGCATTCTCCCTTTCATCTATTCCCGAAACGTTTCACTTTTATGTCTATGTCTCTTCAGGTCTGCGTGTACTCGTTCCTGCCTTTTCTCTGTCCGCCTCTTCTTCTTCTTCTTCTTCGTTAACGTGTTCCTTTCTGTCAAAAGTTTCTCTGTTAACTTTGCTTAACCGGCCCGAAGTGGGAGAGAACGCCAGCTGGGGCCATCAGCACTGCCGAAAATAAAAAGGTTACAGAGCGTTTACAATCTCTCGGGCAGTTACGATGCCGAGAAGAAGATACATAAGACGCGAGAGTACACGTTTACCTAACAGCGAGACCCCACGCCAGCTCTGTTCAATCTCAAACAGAAGCCAGTTTCCGAGAAACGTCGTGGAAATTCTCGAAGGAACGTAATAAACTCAGGAGAAAGGAAATTTTCACAGACATTTATATTCGGAGATCTTGGATGAAACAGGAATATTTTCAAACGTTCTGTAATTCTTTAGCTCTCGGATGATTAGCGAATACCTACTTGACGAAACGAGGACTGATATTGCACAAAGAAAAATTATTTAAGATAATGCGTATTGGTGCCACGGCCGGTTCTGGCAAACGCAGTCGGAAAAACAATTAATTGCGTAATTTATTGAGATCAAAGAAAATTGAAAATTTCATAAACGATATGGTCGACAACAATTGATTAAAACGTTTACAGTTTCGTTTAAAGCCGAACTGGGGCGTCGGAAGAATTACATACAGTGAAGAGCAGAAC